CGAAAAAGGTTGGTGGGGAAGATCGGCTTCAGGGCATGTGAAGCATCGTGCGCAGGGTCGTCGAAGTTCTTGACCGCTCGTTGTGAGAAGGGCGTTTCTTTCTAACACTTCGGCTTGTATGGTTTGTAGCACTGTGCTGTTTGCAGGATGCCCGAGGCGTTGATGCCAGATGTCGTCGGGAGCGCGATGGCCGGGGGAGCGTTGATACATGTCGGCGTTGGAGAAGAACGCGACGACCGTGGCGGGACTTCGGCAGACTTCTCGGGTGATGGGCATAAGTTGATCTGCTTCGGTTGGCGGTCCTCGGATTGCTGGTGATGGTACACGGCTGAGCTCTGCTGCTGCTACTGCAGGTGATGTCTGGGAAGGGACGCTTGCTGGAACTTGTCTTTCTTGTCGGATGACTGCTAACGCTCGTGTTCTCTCTGCTGCAGGTATGGTGTTGGTGTGCCAGAATCCATCCGGGGTGAAGTCGGGATCAAGATCTAGCGGGTGCGTCCAGGCGGCGAACGACACGATGCCATCGCTGTCGGCAGTACCGCGGTCGGGGACGAAATCCAACACGAAGACACCTGACTTCAGGAGAGCGCGATCGATGAAAAGACCGCCCTTCCCGTGGTAAAGATGAAATTCGTTGGCGTTCGAGTCGCATTCCAGGTGAATCCCTTTTTCCATTAGCTGACTGACGCTTAGTAGATTGTATCCCAAGTTGTCGATGATTAGAACCTTGTTGAGTTGCAGTATGACATTTGTCTCCATGGACTGCAAGTGAACCACTCCTTGTCTGTTTGTCTTCAGGTTTTCGTTATTGGCGACGGTGATGATGACATCGCGATTGAGACGTCGTTCTCGTTGCACGAAGCGCCCCGAAGAACACATATGTTGACCGCAGCAGCTGTCCACGAACCAGGTGTTTCGCCTGGTTGGTTCGGCGTTGGCGACTGCAGCGTACGTCGGGTTGACTTGAAGACCTTGTGGGCGCGGCGGCGGCAGTTCTTCTTCGTCTGGAGCGTAAGTGGGTGGTGATCCGGGTGCACAGTTGTCGATGCGTACCATACAATTGATGATGTTCGGTGTGCCCTGTGCAGATATGGAGGAATGACTTGGCAGACTTTCTTGAGTGGAAGCGACTTGTGGGTCTACTGGACGATAAACTCGGGGGCGTGTGCAATTAACTTTTGAGTGTCCGGATGTCTGACAGTTCTGGCAGAACGGCAGCACGATGGTGAGTCCTTTGGTGTCGTGTCGATTTTGCCTGTCACGTCGATTGTAGCTGTCGTTTCTTCGTTGAGCATAGAAGACTAACGGTTGCTGCTTGTTTCTTGGTTGTGTTTCTTCAAACAGGTCCATCTCCTGTTATTCTGCATGAAGCTCGGCGCAGAGGTGCATCTCCGAAATTCGTCCGTGGGCGCGAAGAAGCGAGCGGGTGGTTCTCCATTCTGGCCCGAGCCTGGCGAGGACAAGTGTCACGAAGCTTTCTTCAGTAAATGTACCTCCGCACCGAAGCAGGCGGTCGCGGAGTGTCTGGCAACGACTCATATACTGCATCGCCTTTTCCCCGGTTTTCATTTGTATTGTTGTCAACTGCTGCATGAGTCTGCTTTGTGTCATGCTGTCATTTGCTTGGTAGAGACACTTGAGGTGATGCCATGCGAGCTCCGCGGAGTTTCCGTAGCTCCGATACGTTATGATGCTTTGTTGTTCTTGTGGTGACAGGTTCCGCAGGAGAACTGTGTATGCCAGCAGCGACTGATAAGTGAAGATTTCCTGCTCCTTTGCAGTGCCATTGCTTGGACCCGTTGCCTAAACCCAAGAGATGCGCGGCCTCCATCAGCAGCTCGAACTCAAAGCTCCAGGTAAAAAGTCGTGTCCGTTGAACGGTGAGGATGTCTGCAGTTTGATCACGTGTGAAAACTGCGCCTGGAGACTCAATATCTCATTTGGTGTTTGTTGTGATACAGCTGCTGTTGGTTGGGCACGGGGCGGCATGAACTCAAACGTCCCCGGTGAAGAGTGATAAGGCGCAAAGGTAGGCACTTGATGGTGTCGCCCGAACGATGAGTTGTCGAGGCTCATTGGCGCTAATCCCATGTGTCCTCCGTTGCTTTGTGTTGAATGTGCAGGTGTCCTTGTCTGCTGCTGCTGGTCGAAGTGCGACATGAAGCTGAAGAACCTTTCCATAAGGTTCGTGTCCACGCTTGAAGAGGGTGATGGGGTCACCATTTCTGGTGCCCTTCCTGTTGTTTCTTGAGCAGCGCCGGTCTTGGTTTGCAGTCCTGAAGTGTGCAGTCCAGAGTTGCCGGGTTGAGTGTCTTGGGCGCTTGGTGAGCCCGTAGATATCTTCTTGCCCTTGTTGTCCATGACTTATAATCGATGAAGCTTGTTGATGTGTTAACTGTAGATAGAGCGTAGTTGCTGGGAGTTTGATCTCTGACCAGCTCTCATACCATGTTGGGCTGAGAAAAACCCTTAGGGTCTTTTCAGAGACTAAGTCCCAGTTGTGCAAGATACTTGAGTAGTGTAGTGGAAGTTGAGTAGTTGAACCCTTGCACTAGTATGTGAGAGCAAGTGATTGATTAAAAGAAACAAGCATACAAGAATATATCAAGAGTAGGAAATAGAGCAGTTGTAGAATACAGTTGAAGGAACGGTTATCGAGTCGCACAGCGACTCGATCGTCGGTTCGGTTACCATCCCTGCAGTCGTAACGGTCAGTCGCAACTTCCAGTTGCGACCCTTCAAGTCCCTTCGTCCTTTGGTATTCTTTCGTCCAACCTCCTCGTGTAACCTCCGTTGACTCGCGTTCCCAATAAGACTTTCATCGAGTGTAGTGTTACACTTAAAAAACGCTTAAGTTCTCGAGGTATTTCCTACAACTGGAAACTCAAATGCAAGGGGGAAAGGCAAACCTTTAAATAAAATGGCATCGTTCCTGGCATTGTTCCTGCATAATAATGGGACTCTAGAGCGTGGGCAGCAATGAACGGGGCTCGGTCGTCGCCATGAGAGTGGAAATATGAACCCCATTAAAAAGGGGGGCTGGCGCCGGTCGAAGCATAAGCGCAGATGCGCATTCGACGGTAAGATTAGAATCACAAAGGAGGGCACGATGAAGTAGCGCTAGCTTAACGCCAATCCATTAGTGCGCGAGACTAGGAATACAGCGCGACGCAAAAGAATCACGAGGTTAACAGCGTGGAAAAAAAAAAAGGCACCGTGTCACCGCCAATAAATGCAACGACGTACCTCGACAGATGCAGCCATTGCAGAAATAGGCAGCCGCGTGATAGCAGGTCTGCGCAGATCAAACCAGGGAAAAAAAAAAAAAAAAAAAAAAAAAAAAAAAAAAAAAAAAAACGATGAGCAACGACGAGGCCTGCGCCATTAGAAATAGCGCCGTGCAAAACGAAATCGTGAAAAGGGGGGTGATGGTGGCAATGACGGTAACGGTTGTAGTGGCGGTAATCGTGGTAATGGCGGTAATGGTGGTAATGGGAGGTAATGGTGGTAATGGGCGGTAATGGCGGTACAAGCTAAGATCTGAAATGTCGAAGAGCGAGTCAGAAATGATGCTGGGAGTAGGGGGACAAAGGACAAGACAGAGGTGAAGCATGGGTTTGGCTTGGTTTGGGAGAGCGAGGTTTGGGCAGATGACGCGGCGGTTTGTAAGTAGTCCACGGTTTGATCTGAGGTGTGGATAAGCTTGGTTGGAGGCTTGGGAACAGTAGCATGTTCCGTCGCTAGGCGAAACGGTAACGTTTCGTAAAAGAAATGTTACATGAACGGAAAGTGAATTTCAGACCGTTAGATCATTGTCGATAAGATCCGACGGCATATGGCGGAGATATTCCGATCAACGGTAATGTGAATTTTGACGAAAAGTTTGGAGTTTCAGCCGTTCGATCGGCCACTTGCAGCTCGGGGCTGCTCTCCCTAGCCTTATGTCTCTCGAAAGTGGCCCAATCTCCTGTGAGCTTGGACTGGTTCGGGACAGGGGCCGGCCACTTTTCAGAGGGTGGTTTGGAGCATGGGAACTTGGAGGGGATGGGGGATGTTTCCGGGCAGGGTTCGGACCGTTTTCGGACCGCATGCTTACGAGACACTTTTGGGGCTGTCACTTTCTGGTGACGTGGAAAGTATGTTCTTCCGAAGTTACTTCGTGAAAGTAAGTTTGGTGGGGCAAATGGCCCTCGCGCGGCTCCGAAATGTGTCACTCGCGATTCGCTCTGTTCGGAACAGCCCCAATTTCGGTCTGGAATTTTTACAGGTTTGGCTCCAATCGGAGCGAGGAGCGTCTCAAGGCGGGCTAAATATTTGGTCTGGCGCAGAAAATCTTTGCTATACAGGGTTCGTTGTACGTAACAATCTCACTTTTGGTACACCGTTCTTAGTTGTGCAATTCCGTTTGTATGAATGGACGCATCGCCGTGGCGTGTCAAACTCTTCGTAAAACCGTACTGAAAGGATTCTGGACTCAGGAAATCCCTTATGAAAGCTCAGAATGGACATAGTGCAGTAGCAGAGAATACGAGAGGAGGAGAAAATGAGGAAATGGGGTAGTCCAGCAGCGAATCTGCTGCTGTAGTTCGCGAATTCGTGCCTCCGGCGGCGAATGCGCGTCTCCAGCCACGGGTCTGACGTTGCAGCACACGAAAACGCCTCAGCAGAGGCGAAACCGCGCTTACAGCGGTGGATCTGCCGCTGTAGCGCGCGGATCTGAGTCTCCAGCGGCGAATTCGTGTATGCAGTGGCGGATCTGCCGCTGCAGCGCTCGGAAACCTCATGAGAGGCGAACCCGCGCTAACGGCGGCGGATCTGCTGCTTTAGCGCGCGGATCCGCGTCCCCACAGGCGGATCCGCGTCCCCAGAGGCGAATCTGCGTCTCTAGCGGTGGACATACCATTGCAGAGCGTGGAAACACCTCGGCAGAGAGGAAACCACGGAAACAGCGGCGGATCTGCCGCTACAGCGCCCGGACCCGCGTCAACACCGGTGAATGCGCGTCAGCAGCGGCGAATGCGCGTCAGCAGCAGCGAATGCGCGTCAGCAGCGGCGAATGCGCGTCAGCAGCGGCGAATGCGCGTCAGCAGCGGCGAATGCGCCTCAGCAGCGGCGAATGCGCGTCAGCAGCGGCAAAAGAAGAGGGGAGAAGAGGAGAGGGTGGAGGAGCGAAGAGGAGAGGAGCGAGGAGGAGAGGAGCGGAGAGGGGAGGAGCGAAGAGGGGAGGAGCGAAGAGGAGAGGAGAGAGAGGAGAGGAGCGGAGAGGGGAGGATCGAAGAGGAGAGGAGCGAAGAGGAGAGGAGCGAGGAGGAGAGGAGCGGAGAGGGGAGGAGCGAAGAGGGGAGGAGCGAAGAGGAGAGGAGAGAAGTGGAGAGGAGCGAAGAGGAGAGGAGAGAAGAGGAGAGGAGCGGAGAGGGGAGGAGCAAAGAGGAGAGGAGCGGAGAGGAGGGGAGCGGAGAGGGGAGGAGCGAAGAGGTGAGGAGTGGAGAGGGGAGGAGTGAAGAGGGGAGGAGTGAAGAGGGGAGGAGCGGAGAGGGGAGGAGCGAAGAGGGGAGGAGCGAAGAGGGGAGGAGCGAAGAGGAGAGGAGAGAAGAGGAGAGGAGCAAAGAGGAGAGGAGCGAAGAGGGGAGGAGCAAAGAGGGGAGGAGCGAAGAGGGGAGGAGCGAAGAGGGGAGGAGCGAAGAGGGGAGGAGCGACGAGGAGAGGAGCGAAGAGGAGAGGAGCGAGGAGGAGAGGAGCGGAGAGGGGAGGAGCGAAGAGGGTAGGAGCAAAGAGGAGAGGATCGAAGAGGTGAGGAGTGGAGAGGACGGGAGTGAAGACGGGAGGAGACGGGAGTGAGGACGAGAGTGAAGAGGGGAGTGAGGACGAGAGTGAAGAGGGGAGTGAGGACGAGAGTGCGCAAGTGTGCGAGGAGGGGAGGGAGGAGGGGAGTGACGAGGGAATAGGCGAAGAAGGAGAATGGGTGACAGGTAGGATGGGTGTGGGTAAGGGTGTGAAGAAGGCTGTATGGAGGAGAATGGAGAGGGAAGATCTGGGGGGCGGCGAATTGAGAGGAGTCAAATCTAGAGGGGGCGAATTCAGAGGGGGCAAATTGAGAGGGGAAAATTGAGAGTGGAAAGTTGAGAGTGGATGGACGGCTTCAGAACCAGCATGAGCCCGAGAAAGGGAGGAGGATACGGGCAGAATAGGTGCAATGCAGGGCAGGGCAATGAGTTGAGGCATCAGATGCGGAATAGGGGGTTTGAAGGCGGGGGGTTCTATACTAGCGGTGGGCAGAGTTATGGCGGGGAGAATGGTTGGAGAGAAGGAATGATGGGTGAGTGGTTGGGAGTGGGAATTACAGTGATGCAAGGATGTCTGAGGAGCTTTTCGCGTCAGCGCTGCCCAACCTGCATCTCACACTCTCAGGTGATCCTCACCACCTCTACACGTTACCCCGCACTGAATTCTCACGAATCCGAGCACATGGACAAAGGGAAACTGCACTCGAAATACCCGAAATTGTAACCTGTTATTAGCAACCGCTTGTACACCTGTGCTGCCGGTTAGCACTGATGTCGAATGGCGTTTCCACTGTTCTGGTCGTATGCATATCTTTTCTGTCTATCTCCAATCGTGCTTTCCCCCTTTCATCCTCTCCTTTGCTTTCGTGCTGCCGGTTTGTACTGCTGTTCGTGCTGGTCCCCCATTCACTCTCCCCCATTCAATCTCCTCCATTCACTCTCCCCCATTCACTCCCCCCCATTCACTCTCCCCCATTCACTCTCCCCCATTCACTCTCCCCCATTCACTCTTCCCCATTCACTCTCCCCCATTCACTCTCCCCCATTCACTCTCCCCCATTCACTCTCCCCCATTCACTCTCCCCCATTCACTCTCCCCCATTCACTCTCCCCCATTCACTCTCCCCCATTCACTCTCCCCCATTCACTCTCACCCATTCACTCTCCCCCATTCATTCTCCCCCATTCACTCTCCCCCATTCACTCTCCCCCATCCACTCTCCCCCATCCACTCTCCCCCATCCACTCTCCCCCATCCACTCTCCCCCATTCACTCTCCCCCATTCACTCTCCCCCATTCACTCTCCCCCATTCACTCTCTCCCATTCACTCTCCCCCATTCACTCTCCCCCATTCACTCTCCCCCATTCATTCTCCCCCATTCATTCTCCCCCATCCACTCTCCCCCATTCATTCTCCCCCATCCACTCTCCCGCATTCATTCTCCCCCATCCACTCTCCCCCATTCACTCTCCCCCATTCACTCTCCCCCATTCACTCTCCCCCATTCACTCTCCCCCATCCACTCTCCCCCATCCACTCTCCCCCATTCACTCTCCCCCATTCACTCTCCCCCATTCACTCTTCCCCATTCACTCTCCGCCATTCACTCTCCTCCATTCACTCTCCCCCATTCACACTCCCCCATTCACTCTCCCCCATTCACTCTCCCCCATTCACTCTCCCCCATTCACTCTCCCCCATTCGCTCTCACCCATTCGCTCTCCCCCATCCACTCTCCCCCATTCACTCTCCCCCATTCACTCTCCCCCATTCACTCTCCCCCATTCACTCTCCCCCATTCACTCTCCCCCATCCACTCTCCCCCATTCACTCTCCCCCATTCACTCTCCCCCATTCACTCTTCCCCATTCACTCTCCGCCATTCACTCTCCCCCATTCACTCTCCCCCATTCACACTCCCCCATTCACTCTCCCCCATGAGAAGGTCCAATTCCTAGGACACATGGTGAGCGCTCAAGGAGTTCACATCAACCGCAAGAAAATCGAAGCTCTACGTACGTGGAAGACCCCCGAGAACGTGAAGGAGTTGTAGCAGTTCCTAGGCTTTGTTAATTATTACAACATGTTCGTGTCACAGTACGCGAAACTCGGAGCACCACTCACGAATCTGCTGAAGAAGAACACGCCCTACAAATAGGAGCCAAAGCACTAGGAAGCCGTGGAGCTGCTGAAACAAGCACTCACGTCCGCACCAGTACTCATCTTGCCAGATCCCGAACGCGACTACGTCATCGAAGCTGACGCCAGCGACTAGGCAGTGGGAGCAGTCTTGATGCAAGACCAGGGGAATGGACTGCAACCATTCCCCTATCTGAGCAAGAAACTACACGGGGCAGAACTAAACTACCCAATATACGACAAAGAGGCCCTTGCTATTGTCATTGCCTTCAAAGCGTGGAGATGTTATCTCGAAAGACGAAGGACGACCGTCTACACTGATCACTGCAGCCTAAAATACTTGAAGACACAATCCAACCTTTCCAGGCGACATGTCCGGTGGATCGACTTCCTCGAGACACACTTCCACTACGACATCGTGTACAAGCCCGGCCACAAAAACAAAGCAGACGCCCTCAGCTGGCCTGCACACGTTGCCGCTATTCAGATCGAAGGGATGAATCCACTCAAGGGACTCTTCATAGACGGGTACGCCATCGACCCCGAAATTCCCTTGGCAGAAAAGCGACATCTGCTACAGTGGGACAGTAACATCGCGTACCGGAAAGGATCAACAAAAATCTGGGTACCCAATTACCCTCCTTTGCGCCAGTTACTACTCGAAGAATACCACGACGTCCTCTATGCCGGACACTTCGGTAGCAGCAAGACGCTGATCGGTATCGCAAAACACTACTACTGGCCCCACTTGGCAGAGGATGTTCAGAAATTTGTCACCTCGTGTGATACATGTCAGAGGATGAAGAGCAGCAAACAAAGGAAAGCAGGACTGCTACAGCCTCTTCCTGTCCCAGAACAGCCATGGCAAGTGGTTAGCCTGGAATTCATCACCGGGTTACCACCTACCGCCTGCGGTCATGATGCAATCCTTGTCGTCATCGACAAGTTCTCCAAAATGGGACACTTCATCCCGACACACACGACAGCACGCACCGAGGAGACAGCACAACTATTCGTTCGATACATCATCTCACAGCATGGCATTCCAACCACACTTATCTCCGACCGAGACCCCAAGTTCACCAGCAAGTTCTGGAAGGAACTCATGTCTCTGCTCGGGACCAAACTCGCCATGTCATCCGCCTATCATCCGCAGACAGACGGACAGACCAAGCGCCTCAACCAGATTGTCGAGCACCTCCTCCGAGCAGCCTGCAAGGACGAGATCTCCAAATGGGACTTGCACCTGCCCGTTCTAGAGTTTGGTTACAACAATGCTACACATGCCGCGACTGGACAGACGTCGTTCTTCCTCTGCTACGGACGCCACCCACTCACACCACAGAAACCGACATCATCCGTTACAGTCCAACCTGCACATGATTTCATCACAACCATGCATCAGCTTTGGGATCGGACCCACAAGCGCCTCCTTGATATTCAGCAGCAACAAAAGCGCCAGGCCGATCGCCATCGCAACGACCACACCATCACGTGGGAGACCAGGTGCTCCTTGACACCCGCAATCTTGACATCAGCCATCTCCCATCCAAACTTCGACCTCGCTTCTGCGGGCCTTTTCTTGTTGACGCACAGGTCACTCCTCTTACCTTCTGCTTACGCTTGCCAGCTATCTGGAAGATTCACAACGCCTTCCATGTCCAACTTCTGAAGCCCTAACGGGATCCAAACACGATCTTCGTGGGACGCCAACCGCCACCGCCGCCGCCTGTCCTCGTCCAGAATGAACGCGAGTACGAGGTCGAGTCCGTGCTTGCACACCGCCGTCGTCGGAATGGCTCCGTGGAGCTTCTCATCCGTTGGAAGGGTGATGATCCTTCTGAGGACAGCTGGGTACCTGAGTTCGACATGGGTATCCTGTCGTTCTCTGCATGACTACCTTGTCAAGCAGGGTGTTACTTCTACCACCCAGCTTTGAGGGGGCGAAGTGTGAGAGTACGACCTCTTTACACCACTTGGCCTTTCCTTATTTCCTTCCTCTTTCATTTCTCTTTTTATCTCATCTCATTTGGTTTAGTATTTCTCCTTTTCCATTATCCTTTGGTTTATCCTGTTATTTTCATTATATCACCGACCAGGCTCGGGATGTACTGGTGCGCTCTATCTAGCGTAATCCTGTCGTAATCCCTTAAAGCCAATAGCCTCGCGTGGCTATACGCAGTGTGATTCTATATTCTAGAAGGGTCTATTCCCTTTGGATAGGATAAAACCTGGTTACCTGATGTACTTTGGAAGTATAAAAGCGCCTTGTACTGATCGATAGTGCAATCTTTCCTCGAGTCATTCGATCCTGTGACACCTGCGTGCCCTAGAGTCTCGCTACCGCACTGCTAGCATTGCTGCCCAGCTCGCTGCGCTCCCTCCCCCCTTCTGCATAACCTTTATCGCCATGCGCCTGCCTGACCGCCTTGCTAGTGCACGCGACCACATCCGTAGCCATCACTTGGGTGATCTCACCCTGCTAGCCTTTGTCACCGCCCTGACCGAGATCGAGACTCGCCAGCGCACTATCGCTCAGTCGACCGATGTGCCGGCAGTCTCTATCTTTCACGGCTGTGCCCCCTCCTAGTGCACGTTTACTGACGTTTCGGCTGCGGTCGCCATTGCGACCCCTCTGACCGAGACTGCAGCTGCGGTACACCCGCACCAGCGCTCGCGCCGCGCCGGTCGTGGCTGCCAGGGAGGGCGTGGTGGAGGAGCTGGTTGTAGTAGTGGTGGTACCGGGGATAGTGGTTCTACTGAGGGGACTGCCTCAGCTAGTCAGGAGCAGCAGCCGTCGCCGCAGCAGCAGGAGCAGCTGCAGCAGCCATCGCAGCAGTCACAGTCGTCGCAGCAGCTGTCCCAGCCCCAGCCGTGGGCTCGCCTCCCCCCGAATTGGCCCGGCACCTCCGTAGGTGGTGGCCGTGGTGGCGG